AGTAGTTAAATAAAGGAATTCTCTAAGTGGGATAAACTGTGAATATTATAAACAGAATAAGTAAGAAAGATAAGTCAAAAGAATTGTATAGATAACAGCCGAACAAACGCAATTACAAGAACAAAAATGTCTAAAGTTGCAGTTCATGTGACTTTGATGTAGGTTTTTCACATTATTAACTAGTTTAAATAGTTGGAATGTATTACTGTCATATTCTACTGGCATCTGGAACAGTAATTCTTTCAATATTACTGTAAATGTTAGTTTGAAGAGGCTCAAATATCGAAAAAATATCAATACAATTAATAAAAATGAATATGCAAATTATCTGATTTGCATATATTTACATTTATTTGGACAATAAATTCAAAACACCTTCAAATGACACCAATCTGGGATCTCTAGCCCAAAAGACAACGAAGATATTGAAACATCAATGGTGGTAACCATTATGCCTATATATTCTTATGTTGCCATAGCAACATCCCATTTATCATTAGTTAAATCATGAATTTTTTTCCACATCCATATTTTCCATGAAGAAGATATATATCTGAACAAAAAAAAGTTGGATGTGGTTTGTTATACCTTCTCTGGATTCCAGCCCAAACCACTGGTCTATAGATAATTTTCATGTGATTGGAAGGTATCGAAGGAGTCACCGGCGGTAATCAGTGCAAATCGCGCCCAGGTCAAACCTCATACTTGTGATTTCCATTTGAAGAGCGCATTGGATTGTGGTAAAATCAATGTTTATCAATACAAATGTCGCACATGCGCAGCGCGACGACTGCCGTGCTTGAATAAATGATTACTATTTACTTGTATATTTATATACATCTTTTTTCAGAAGGAAATTCTGTGAAGATTGGAAGGATAATGAAGAGGAAGGGGAGATTAATGAGATAAAGAAAAGATGAAAGAAAAACAAAGTAAAATAACACTTACCAAAACAAGATGGCGCAGTGTTGTCCCATGTGCCATCATTACAGGTCAAGATAGCAGCGCCGACCAGTGTGTAACCAGAATCGCAGATGAATGTTAAAGAACTGCCATGTGTTAACAATCCTATTCGCTGACCATTAGTTGGCGGTGACTGGTCTGGACAGTCTCCTTTAAATACAATTTATTTATAATAATGTTTATTGTCTTTTAGGCCACAGGCCCATATGACTATACATAACAGAAAAACAAAACATTACACAAGCACTGGAGAATGTACAGAAATTGTAAAATACATATATATATATATATATATATAACAAAATTCTTATACCGAAAGTAACGAAAATTCCCTTTGAATGTTTTATGTAGAAATTTACCAAGTTTACGTAGTACTTTTGCGGACTTTGAGCGCATTAGACTGTAATATTTTTCTGAATTGCCAAAAAGAAAGATGCCAAAAATAACAATATTGTTAACATCTAAAATATAGCAGATATTTCGAATAGTCGCGCCCTATAGCGATTAAGATCTTCCGCGAAGTTCACATAGCGTAGGCTAGGGGGTCAGAAGTAGAAACTTTCCAAAAGGTTTGCAGTACACCCAAGAGACTATAAATTATGTAATTTGCCACTCGATGTTCAATTAACAGATAACAAAACTTCGATTTACAGGCAATACACATGTTTGTTTTTGTTGAACGTCCAAATTTAGTTACTCGAATTTTTATTAACAGTTAACCGAACTTCGATTTACAGGCAATACACATGTTTGTTTTTGTTGAATGTCCAAATTTACTTAATACTCGAACTTGAATTAACAGTTAACCGAACTTCGATTTACGGGCAACATAAAATTAAAAAAAAAATGCATGCTGCCCGTAAGTTCTGTTATCTGCTAATTGAGCGTCGAGTTAAAATATGGACGTGGTTTCTCAAAAGTGGGCGTTGTTTCTAAAATTTAGGCGATGTTCGTAACTCGGTGACCGTAACTCGAACAATTCACCATCTCTTCGCAAGTGAACAATGAAGCACGGTATTCCCTGATGTTTAGCTCGTCCTGCTATGGGCTGTATTATACACTCGTCCTTTGATTCATACATGATACTAGACTATGACGTCACTCGTATCAACCAGCTCTACGAACAAGTGATATCAGATATTAACCACATAATCCTATGTACGTGAGATAAAAATACCATGCTTCATTGCTTACTTGCGAAAATAATCCGTAGGTTTCTTTCACTTAATGTATATTGGCGCCTTCAAAGACTATCATTCACAGGAAGTTCCCCTAAAATATAAATATACATTTTACCTAGACACGTCGGAGCGCTGCCACTCCATGATCCATCTGTACACCCAAGAGCGACCGAACCAACCAGTGTAAATCCCGAGTTGCATACAAATGCCATGTGATCGCCGTGTCCCCAACCGCCCATCGTGATGCCATTGGACAGACTCGATAAGTCCGAGCAGTCGGCTGAATAAAAAACAAAAACGTGTTAGAGAGGTACATATTTCAAAGGCGGTGGTCGTAAACAATGTATTTCACACGCGTTGTATACGTGGCTATGAGTCCCATATCGAATAGGACGCGGCACCACGACCATCGCTCCTTTAGATTAGCTGCAATGCATCGCGAGTATGGCACTTCCCTATATCACGTGATTCAGTATATAAACATAGATATGGGAATATGGAATAAATGTAATGAAACAAGTAGATTGGTGGTGTATTTTTATCTACACATAAAACACGAATCAGAATGCAATATGTTAAGTAAATACTGTACAACAAATAACCACAGAAAAATGATACATATGGTATAACCGTGACTCAATACCAAAGTATATGAAGCTATCCTTGACTTTGGAACAATGGGGATTACTTTTTCCTTCTCAAATACTGAGATGCTCATTCGTCTTCATTGCTCGATGTAACAAATTGGCCAAATATCCATCAAAGATAAAAACATAAATCTTAAAATCAAATATTATAAGATGTATTATGCCCAGCGTGAATAGTTAAATGTCGCACGTTTTTGTCTTATATTACCATAATAAAAAATCAATAATATCAATAAAAAATAGCATGCTGCAGTATTGCAGTATATACCGAATAACGCAAATTAGATGAGGTGTATCAAATCAGTTCAAAGCATGGAATTTGCCGGTAATAATGGAACCAAACATGGGCGAGTTACGTGTTTATGTGAGTTTCTCCGCGGAAAGATTTTATTGCGTAGTGTGGAGCCAGTGTGTGTATTCTAGAAGTGTGAAAAGCCGAACGTGATCAAACTATATGTATATTTATTTAGCCCTTAAGCATGTTTCGCGTGACTCAAACGACATTTCTCCAGGAACAATGTGCTCATTCATCCACCATTCAAATTAGACGCGCGTCCTTTATTAGTGCGCTGCCTCAATTGTACATTTCAAGATTCGTGGTTATTGCTTCGGTACTGGCACATATACTATAACCTAATGCCAGAGACAACAAACTATTTCAAAGAGAATAGTAAGAAAGGGGAAACTGGATAATTTGAAGTGCCGTCAGGTAATCGCCATTCACGTGTTTATTGTGAGATACGACGGAGCAGTGTTGGTCACTGCGGTAACAGGCGATTAATGAAAAGGCGAGACAAAGGGGAAAACATAATTTGATGTATTACTGAAAAAAGGTTGTGTTGTAAGGAACTGATTATGTCGTTTCTCCTTTGCTCAGCTTTCAACAAAAACACGGAATCAATGCCAGAATCGACGATGCAGTTTCGTATTGGATAATGTTCCATCGTATTTCCTATGTTTAATCTTATATTAAAGTGTTCGACTCGTTAACTGTTCAACGCCATCCGTAAATTATTTTTATATTCTTTCAGATATACTCAAAAAGTATGTGGAGATTAGAATAGATGAGACTTTACAAATTTAGTAACCGAACTAGTAGATGACTGACGTCTCACATGTGATGTACATGTTCTATGAGACAGAAGGCGTATGCGAGAAATCTTGAGAACCGTATGATTTGAACTTAAAGTCTAACCCATAAAGTAGACATTTGTCATTTGAACAAAGCGAACAAAGAGTTCGACTTATGCGAATCAAATCAATGATATATACTGAAGCAATGATGTTGTTAAGAACTGATTGCTTAATGGAGATATGAACCACCTACATCTCTACGTCCTTCAGCATAGGACTGAATGTCGTTTTACCAAACTAGGTTTCCCGTGAGACTAACAGGTGGACAGGATGTAGTCTTTGTTTCATTGCTAAATGTGCTGCTGGAAACGTGAACCAACCCCACAATCTCATTAATGTCAATGTTAAGGTATTTTGAACACTTAATTTATAAAATCTATCCGGTTTAAGATACAAGTCACAGACATATAATGATGCTACCACAAATTGTGAGTTTATTTTAAACAGCCTGGCAGACGACAATTTGATGTCTTGTATTAACAAAACACACACTGACAACGAACGCACTTTAATTTACAACATCCGCCAATAATATCTGACTAACTAATTGAATACGTTCCAGCTCTTGTTTCATCATATCTAATAAGAAATATAACGAAACGAAAATACGACTTTGTTCAACAAATCTTTGGAGAAGACTAACTTAAGTTAATAAGCATACTCCTATATTGTTGGCTCGGGTAATCTGGAATGTGTAACATTAAACAAGAACTACCGTTTTATCTTATTTCGAGAATGCACATGTAGTACTATGTACACTAATTATAACGGCCTTGGACCAAATTCCCGATTCAAATAGTGTTATTGCTTTCACTGGGCTATATTATTGTATTTCAAATTAAGATTTAATCACACTGTCTGGTAATTTTTTTTTTCATCTCGATAGTGAAAACCCCAACTAGATTAAACGATTCCTAAATTATTTACAACTGATCTACCTTCTATTAAAAAAAAAAACATATTTCGTTTTCGTTGTTCGTAATTGCGGGCGAGCTTCCACGATTATTGTCTAACGTTGTACACCTATCATTCTGCTTACGGTAAACGACACAGAAACACTTTTCTTCAAATGTATAATATATAATGATAGCACGTGACAAGATGAGACGGTAATTGTAAATCAATGAAGACACTAACCAAATACTGAACGTGAATTAATTCTGCAATATATTGGTAAATTGTTCATTGTACTACCTGCCTTTGTCAGAAAGCAGAAACAGAGCTGCTTCGAAAAAGGTCACGTCTTGTGGTCTCAGCTAAACACAGAGTAGCAATGTGTGTACGTTAATAAATCACGGAATGATATTATATCAGGTCTCAGGAAACACATGCAATATTACATTCGTCGAAAAATATTTTGATATTTCCTTTCAAATTTATAAAGGAGTAATCTGCAGAGACGTCTTTATAACATTTTGCAACTGTGTGTAATTTAAACCTTATATTTCCAAACAATTAAATCTGTTTTCGCGTAAACAATGTCGAATGGAATCAGATATGCATTTTATCGGTAACCGTTCAGGTGTACAATAGAGACAGATGGCTAAGTGACATGTTATTTGTGATCACTGATATGCATAAACTGCAGCAGACCACAAATCGTTATGGGGCGTGCGTGGCGTACATGGGATGTAATTTCAGGTTATCATACACAATGTTCGTTACATTTTTTTTAGAACATGCAGCGGCAATTAAAGGCCATGAAAGTACGACAACGTCTAAATATGTCGGTGTTTTTACACTGTATTGTTTGTAGTTTTGCTATTAATGGTTTTAATACGCTGCATAGGTGATTCTAATTTGAAACTTGTTTGGATCGTACATTGTATCTAGAAGGCACGTACTGTGTAAAATCCATGGAATTCATTAAATATAAAACTTAGTAATCATATTATACTAATGTATCCATTGAACGGTAAATATATTGAACACCAGAAATGAAAATATGTTTCAACTACCTGAAGAAGCCAAATTGACGGTGCTAGATGTCCATAAACAGTGACTGTGTATTAGATGAATTCACCTAACCACATTTATATGTATATATATGTATTCTCGGTCTACTTAAGACTTGATCTGGGTGTATAATTGATTCATCAGAAAGTTTTTGACTATGATAAATTATGTGAACAAAATTAAAAAAGACCAATCGAAAAATGTATAACAGGTGGGTGTTCAATATTCTATGAGTTCGAAAAAAGGAATTAAACATTGCTCTATCCCTTAAATTCTGTCACGTCATATAATACTTGGATAATGTAAATGCACAGTTATATAGTTATCTTTATTAAATTTACAAGGTAGGTTATTCAGTGAAAAATACTGAACTGTTTTGCACTTCACTAACATTGGTGAACAACACCATTTGACATTCATACCGAGTAAATTTTTCTATTAATTCCAAAACCAGTGTAGCTGAATCTGCTTCATTTTCACTGGAATGGTAATGTAAAATTTTGTATTTAAAAAAAAATACTCTTTTTAATTAACTATACAACTATACTGTACTGGTATATATTTACACATCTACCATAAACACCCATAGAAATATATACAACAAATTTGCAGTGTGAAGATATTTCACATTATACTCTGCAACATATATAACACACTGTCATTTTTTTTTTTAAATGTTTAATATCGTATTTAATTTCTCATGCTAAAATTATTATACTGATGTTTAAACCTGTGTTTGTGTAAAACTCAACAAACAACTGTTAAAGTCATTAACATACATATTGTTGACTAACCTCTGTTTATGTCTGATAACAACATTAAATGTCTGAGCTTAGGGTCGCCAGTTTTCTTGATATTCACTTCGTCAGCCATGGGTCGATTCGTGCAAAAATCTAGTTAGTTTGTTCACGGCTTGGGCAGTATGAACTTTATTTTAATACGTTCTCTATTTCACAAACGTGTGACGGTGGAAAGCCTATGACACTGGGCTCGAAAAGAATCTAGATTTACCGTGCGCACGATTGTTTGGAATACTGTTAAACTGTTATGTTTTTTTTCCCGAAATTGCGGTTATTTGCTATTCTTTTGCTATGTATATTGTGTAAGCAAACATTTTTCTGTTAGTGAAGAACCAGACAATATAAATAACGATTAAAACTAAATTAACTTGACAGTCTGACTTTCTGGACCAGAGTTTACACAGAATTTTTACACAGATTGGACCGGTGGAGAAGCACCTCAAGAACAGTTGTTGAATCATTATCAAAGACAAAGCCATACGACCGTGGTTATGAAGATTCTCACGTAAGTTCACAAGATGATTATCGATCACTTAGGTTTTAAAAAATATTAGAGACAGGACTGTTTATTCAGGAAGTGAGGTTTTTGTCAGTGTTTTGTATTTAACAATTGGTTGCACAGTAAACTAATGTTGATTAGCGAATTCAGAAATAAATTAAGAATGTTACACGTGAAAACAAAATTGTTATATTCTCAATATGTTTGCATTTGAATTATGACTGAAAGCAGCTGAATGAAATTATAAAATATGCAGCGTGTTCAATAATTTATGAACAATGATCAACATTTACATAAATATGACAGTCATTTAGGTTCTTGTTTAGGGAGATGTGACTGTACAACGACGACATTTCTGCCCTTGAATAGTAAAAGGCATTGATTATGATTACGAGATAGAAATTACGCAACCGTTATAGAATGTTTAATTGGATGTGGAGAACAAATTAGATGTCGAGAACGTGCGCAGACGACATATTCGACCTATTAACTTTGTTTCTTCACTGTGGCTTTCGTGGATTTGTTGTGAATCCCAAGAAAGGGTACTGAATGAACAAAACCCTTGCTAAATGATTTCAACATAATAATTGTTACAAATAAACACGTCTTCATAAGCTTTTTCGTGAATAATTATTATGATGTGTCTGCGGTTGTCATAGCAATTGCATAAAAGGCTGACTCATTGTTTTGGGGAAAAAATATCGTAAATCTTATAGACTTCAAATTTGACGAAGGTGATATTTCCATGGCTAAATCAGCATTGTGCCTACGATAAAACATAGCTACCCATCGTGTTTGTAACAGTAATTACAGCGTCAGATACCAGAGCTAGACAAATAAAGTGTAATTATTGACATTTACGGCATTGTCACGAATTGACACCACAGTTTAATTCCCAATAACATATAAATATGTTTCTAAGTTGTTGTCATAACAACAATCACGTGAGTTTGACACGTGTGCCTTCGTTCCTATTAAAGTCAAGTTTTATCTCGTATAGTGAGTACGAATTGTTCATTAGCTTTTTCTGCTTAAATTGTGTGTAGTATGGTTGCTATGCAACGTCAAAATTTATAGAAACATTGTATATAACCGACTCGATATATGCTATTCTAAATTCAAGTTATGGGAAGCTAACTCAAAGTACAATGTGTTGTTACGTAATTTAGCTATTTGTCTTGATTGAGTAGATTCAATACCCCGTAATGTCACGACCTCTAGCATGGAAGTACCAAGTAATTTGTTGTAAGTAACGCCGTTCGATATTATTTCATCTGTTATCGCCTGTCAATATCAAATACTGTTTTGAGAAGATTTGTTACTTTCTTAAATGACCTGGCAACTACAGTTCTATATTAACATTTTGCTTACACCCATCTCAGTAATGATGACGTCATGGACGTGTTTCCTGGCTGTATTATTGGTGATGATGACTTTTGTTGACTTTTCGCTTGAATGATTTTATAATGCGAGGTGTTTTACAAGTGTTATATAATCCAGTGATTATTCGAATAATAACTCTTAAAAATTAATTATTTAATTTATAAAAGTGAAATATACCTGGAGTCGAACATGAAACCTCGTCTTCGCTGTCACTGCAATCTCTTATCCCATCGCACCATCTGGACAACGGGATGCATCTACCATCGTTGCAAGTGAACTGATCCCCTGTACACGAACAGCTTGTTTCATCTTCCCCGGATGAGCAATCCTGGTAGTAGTCACATTGTTGCGTTGCCAAGATACAACTAGTATCACTACATTCATACTCTCCCGCTCCACATGAACCTGAACCTGTAATTGAAAGAAAATTACTATTTGAGTGTGCGCTTCGATACTTTGGATTTCTGGATGTAATTCGAGAACGTTATTTGTGATAACTGGATCAATCACACTATATTAGTAGTGTTTCCCGTCATGAAAATGAACTTTTATATCGTTGCATGCGCGTAATTTAGATAACTGAATGAAATTTCTTATCTCGATGGTTTGCAGAATTATTCTCAGCTCGTAGGCACCAATCAATGAAGGATGTTTGTAATAACGGGTTAATTGCTAGCAGATATCGTTATATGTTGTCAGTTATTTTAAAACTGGGCGCTCAAACACAGAAAATGCGCACGCAAAATATAACGCCTCACTAACTTCATGTGTACTGTATTTCAAATCTAATCACCATTGAAAAATTAGGAATGAAATCATGTACAATGTTTAATCAAGTGCAAGTACATACAGCAGGAACTTGGGCGACAAAATATATTAGATTGGGCGAAAATAAACGTTCAAAGTGCTCTTCATGTACCGTAAGGAACGTACTTCACCCGTGATCTAGTTTTACCTCGCCAATGGCTGTATACTTGAACTCAATATTGATTATTTTCAGCGTTCCTAACAATGCCTTCATTAATGGTGTAATTAATTTGACAGCGTTGCAGTGCACGCAAAGTGATTGAATACTCGGCTGTCATGTGGAATTTCGTGTGCACTCTCAGTTGAATCGAAGCATATATACGAGACATCATTTGATTCGTCGAACAACACCTGTCAACAAACAAGATGCCATCTGATTGGCCTGACGGTTCGGTAGTCAATCAAGAAGAATCTTATAAGTTGATTTGCACCGGCTTTGTATTCGAACCACACGATCCATGCTATCATGCCCAGTACTGTTCGAAAACAATCTACACCATTTTTTGGTGATTTTTTGGAACCCAGATAAAAAATTGATTACGCGGATTAATTAAGGATTATGTAAAACAAACGGAAATTATTGTCACAGATAAAGTGACATATAGACAATGATTGAATAAATTGCATTTGAAATTCATTTGTTTCTAGTTATATTTCATCCGAAATGTATACCATAAGTCGTTCATTTCATCATTTCATCTTTGACTCATGTTCTCGGCGTTCTCATTGGGTTATTCTGTTGCAGATGCTAACGTCACAGAACTCACTACGAAATAATAGAAATAAGCAACATACACACCACTCAGACCATTTTTTTAATCCGTACCCATTCATGCTACTATGAAACAGACAAGTCTCAAAGAAAATGCATGTGCCCTAAGTTGACATGCTTAGCCAGCTTCACTTAGAAAGAAACAATTTATTCTGCTGTAATTGTCACATGAAAGCAGAATGAAAATCACCCTGAATGTTAGTCGCAATTAACGCAGACAGAAAGTGATTTGTCGTGAGTTCTAATAACATTGTACACATTCAACTCTTATGTAAAAGCCTTGAGCAATTAACATTTCAACGCTTTTCAGTTTCGGTAAATGTCGCCTGATGCTGATAGAGCGAAGATGTTATGTCTGTCTGTTAGAAAATCTGGCCACTTTTGGCGATTAAATGGCATACGATGTGGAGCTTTTCAGAAACAAATCAAACAACTTTGGCGATCTTTTTTCCTAATAGAAAGTCTACACAGAGAAATCACATTGATTACTTGAACCTTTCAAATACACTGTTAAAAAAACGCTATTAGACACTGGACCAATCATTTTTTTATTTGTGACACCATTGCAACACTTAATGCTGTTTGAATTGTGTCGATTCATATTTTATAAATCAATATTTCTATACAACAACAACTTTGTGATTAGTGTTAATGTAAAACGACCCATTCGCCTTTATTGCTAGGTAATGGTGATGGGAACAATGTAATAACGCAAGTTTGCTTCAGTGTTGGATATGCTACAAAAACAATGGCGGATAGTGCATTACATATCAGCAAGTGTAATTACTATAATGGATGTGTCCTCGTCCACACTATTGTATGGTACCGCTCCGTCGCTTAACACTCACTGCTCAAGATTATACAATGTGTGCCATTCCATGTGAAAATCGAAATTAATTCTCAGTACTAATTATTTCCAGATGACAAGATGGCAATCCATTGACCCAAATTATGTTAAATACTTGACGACCGTTGATGTATCACTATAACTGACAATAAAAACAATTTACGAATTCTGGAGCTACTGAGGTGACATCTACATGTGATTACGAAAATAGTTGTATGATAAAGTGTCAGCTGACGTATACTAATACTAATATATATTCAATATGCGTCATAATGTAAATTATTAGCTCAACAAAACACCGTACACTCACATTCCAAAAGAGGATGATAGTGTCTTCTGTGTGTGAACGTTGTTATCTGAGATATATAGTATGGTTTCAGTTCTTTTTTCGCATTGTTAGATTCTTTCGAATTACACATATACAAGAGTTTTTCCCCCGTATCAATGCATTCTATCATGTATGTGAACTCTGTATCATTGTTTATAATCGACAATTTACTGCAAATCAGTATATTTTATGATGTTCAATTGACAGGTAATGAACTTGGTAATGGCTTTTGCAGGGTTTTTGAGAATGCAATCAATACGGTGTTGGTCGAGTTTAATTGCAAAATGCTGGCACGACAATAAGAAGCCGTGAAATACTTGTTTGAGTTATAAGAACGGTATTAACTTATTGAAAGCGATTTCGTCTTATTTCATTTACATAATAATGAGTTATGCCTGGAAGTCTGTCACTTTGATGGGTGTTTTGTTAAGATGTGTGATATGAATAGAACTTGCTTATAGACCTATATCTATATTGAAATTAGAAATACCCGCTAATGCCATCTCCGACAGGTTAGTATTGCTTATTTCAATACGTATAGATCACATTAAACCACCTACACATCCATAGATTGGCGTAGTACCTGTGTAAGTAGCAAACTAACACTAGTTGTTTCGGAGTGTGTAGATATTTATAGGATATCTTATATATTATCGCCCCGGACACCCCACTGTGAAAACAATGGCCGAAAACTCTCAGAAAACTGTACCTTGGGATAATTGTTTAGACTCCCCTGAACAGTGTAATAAGATTACCCCTACATAAGCAACATATATAAATTTGGTTGGGCATGATTTCTTTAAGTTGAATTCGAATTTTCCGCGACTCTAGCTGTTTTCACCGGCTCTTCGACCGGCGTTCCACGGCATCTCGTGCATAGTCGAAATTTCCAAAACGTACATTTTACGAGCATTGAATGCAATAAAATTACAAAGGCGTCATCAATGAACAAAACTTATAATAACACTATTTGCATTCTCGCACAGTCATAGGGTAAATGCCCTTATGAACAAGTATGTTTTCATCGCTGCATTGAAATTGAGTGTACGAGGGATGTTTTTGCAAGTCACGATAGAGTTTAACGATTAACGAACTAACAAACAAACGCCACACAATACTTAGATAAATCGACAAGAGGGGGGTATACAATATGGATAATTACGGGTAAGATGTACATTTATCTTCTAAGAAAGTAAGTACCCACTCTATTAAAACTATTCTAATTGTTGTTAGGTCTCCACATGCGTAATTGTACGTGCTTTGCATAATACATAAATTCTATTAACAAGTATTAATGCAATCAATATGATAAAAGATAACAAATGATAACAACTTTAGTGAATTAATTGACTATTGTAATATGGTAAATGTGGCGCACAATTGTTAAGTATGCAAATTAGAAAATAATGCAATTCATGTTTCAGCTTGATAAGGTAGCAACAGATGGAAAAGGAGTTGCATATATTGATTTTTGATTCAGACATTCTCTGAAAGTTAATAAGCCAGCTACTATAAGAAAGTAGAAATAACACACACAACCGTATGTTGTTGAGGAAAGATGACTAGCAACAACTGACAAAACAATCTACAAAAGAACAAAAGGTACAACCGACCAAACAACTACAGACATGCAACCAAAAATCAGTTGTCTATTATTATTAACCTGAAGTTACACCCTACATCTCACGGCTAGGGGTATTCATTAGGATGATACTGTTCGTGTTATTTTTGTAATCAAATCACGTTTGACCAAAAATGTTGTTTTTTCAGATTTTATGAATGCAGATAGATGTCTATATTGGTAATCATGCCCAGCGTGTTTAGAAAATGAAATTACATAGATACACTGAAATTGCTTGAATTAAATGCGATCATAATTAGCCATTGCTCCATTTATATGTTAGTTGAATAAAATATCTTACATCATACTTTAAAATAACTTGTTGTCAGTGAGTATTAGGTAGATATGTATCAACCCTACGGGCCCTTCTCACAGTTGAATAGTCTCAATGAACGAAGTCGTGATAATATATTACTCAACTGTCCAAGTAATTGGTTAGATTATCGATTCAATAATATGCTTGTACAAGGATTGTGTTGATCTATGCTTCATTGCATAGTTAGATGAGAATTCATGTATAGTCAACTACTACTACGGAGTATATACATGCGTGAGAGCACTCAGCTAACGACGAATGTTATCAATTTGTCAAACACTTTCCATGTCAATGGATTCTTTACCTCCGAGCTCCTTTTATCAAATATGAGAACAAGATATCAGCACCAACCAACCGATAATAACATTTCAAACGGCGTACTTTCCTTGAGTTCATTCGGCGACATTTTGGTTGACTGACGTAAATATGACAGCACATTACCTAATGGTTATATGTATGAGTTGTTTGTATTCAGTTAAAAACTAATTACAAAAAAACGCTAAATAGTCAGAAATAGCATGACAATCATACTTATTGTGTACTGCATTGAATTACAGAACCATAATTACATGAACAATTATTTATTGACGCCACGGTAGCATCTTTTAATGACAATTAGCTAAATATTATTCAGAAACTGTCTTATCACTTTATAAAAACCTGAACTTATGGAATAGGTCGACATAATACACAAATTACCGCATCAGGAATGACTTATAA